TGACACAATGTTCTTAGGGAAATCAGTCCATTGACTGTTCTGATAGTACATCAAACGTAAATATTGTGAAGCAAAGATTAGCTAAGAGGTACATACACTTCATCACAATGCATATGTAATCATTGAAAATGGCAATATAGTTTGTCATACTAAATATCAAGTTATTAACCTACAAGTGAAGGACAACCTCATTGTAGAAGTGTCAGTAAGATACACATATTAATACCACTGCATGGTTATACACGATAAATCAATATTAAAGACGAGCACATTTGAAATTACACAAGGGCTTGAGATCCTCTAGGGAAACATACCAATAAGCTACATGTGAAATGATTAGCCATAAACCCAAAGTCTAAGGTATTAACAATCATACTAATTCCACTATGCAGAAAATCTCTTGTATCTAAAAAAGATTTTGCACCCTTGACTTTGTTCTTTCTCTTTTATGTAATACAGGATATGTTGGAAACTGATATGTTAGAAACATGGAGTACATGGTGTGTGAAGAGGTAGAAAAAAGATCAGTAACATTAGAAGACACACCTTGTAAGTTTTGACCATCAGATGCAACACACATCATAGTTTCAACCAGAAGGCATGTTGTCCGGCACAACTTTCATGATATATGTCCAGTTCAAGCATTCCATGATTGAGAAAATCATATCAACAGAACTAGTTAGTAGCTTTTACCCAGAATAGCTTAATAAGCACCACCGCACTAGTCATCTAAGCTGAGAAAACAAAATAAGTACAAACTAACAACAAACAATCCAAGGAATTTGCATGGTCATACATCAAACAGTGAGATAATTAGTCATTCCCCACGAATTTCCCATGTAAAATTTAAAAATTCACGGACAATTGTTTCATTTATGAGAAAGACTAATTTAAAAACAATAAGAACACAGTAGTAAGCAACATCGTCGTAGTAGTGTATTTAAGATAAACATACAAGATGATATTACAAAGGACAATATCGTAGCAGTGTAGAAGTCATCTAAGCTAAACTAAATTCTGGACCCAAGTTAACAAAATCGTGATTATGATAAAATTTCAAGAAAGAAATCAATACAATAAAAAAGTTAGATAATTTTTATATAATAATAAATTTGCCTCTTTTTATGTTTGATTATTTATAGATTCAGAGCAACAAAAACAACAAATCGAAAGTATGTCAATGCCTCAACGGCCCCAAAATTGGCCACAAAATGAAAGAAATGAATCACATGATACAAAAAATCTTCCAGGTATTAAATATCATGATATTTATTCTTCCTTTAATAGTATAACGTAGTTAGATAATTTTTATATAAATAAAAAATATGCCTCTTTTTATCTTCGATTATTTATAGATTCTGAGCAACAAAATCAACAATCGGAAGTATGTCAATGCCTCAACTACCCCAAAATTGGCCACAAAATGAAAGAGATGAATCACATGATACAAAAAATCTTCCAAGTATTAAATCTCATGATATTTATTCTTCCTTTCATAGTATAATGTAGTTAGATAATGTTTATATAAATAATAAATTTGCCTCTTTTTATCTTTGATTATTTATAGATTCTAATGAGAGTGAAGAGCAATCTAAGCGAACTAGGGGTCCCACTATGATGCACTCGGGATGGGGGAAAGATGGTGGAAATTTACATATTGAATTGAATGAACATGGTCAAGTTATTGGGTCAGAAGGAACTAGATTGAGTTCAAAACTTGGTGTGCTAGCACGAAATGGCATCTTAGTGCCACTGAATCATAAAGATTGGAGGCTTGTACCTAGTATGTACAAGGATAGAATATGGGCTCATATCAAGGTTCTTAGTATACATAAAACCTATATACTAGGATGTTTTTTTTTATATATTTTATTTTATAAATGAGTTGTGTATTAAATACATGTACATGGACGCAACTGATGACATGAAACACATACTGATGATGTCATTTGGATCTAAATGGAAATAATCAAAGCATGAAGCAAAAACCATTGGATATGACCCATATAACACTGATATTAAGCATTTAGCTCATTGTCCAGATAGAGTTGAAGAAGATCAGTGGCGTTCATTAGTTCATTATTGGAGCTCAAAAGAAGCAAAGGTATGTGCTAGATTTCTATTTCTGCATTTGTTCTACTATATGAGAATTTCATAGAAGTTGTCATAAATTATTGAAGTCGTGGTTTCCCTGATTATACTTCTTATGGTAGAAAAACTAGAAGTTCTTTCTGATTTGTCTCTTTCTTCTAAATGGCAGAAATAATGTTGTTGTACATGTCCAGTTTGCCAACCTGCACAAAATGTTCTTGTATAGAAATTGATTGCACTTTGTGAAACTCAACTATGCTGCTTTTTTATATTTTTTCTTGGCTATTTCATTTATATATTCAAGATTGCGCATGTCCTCTTATATATTGTTGTGTTCAAGTTTCTAGGAAAGGAGTGAGAGAAACAAAGAAAGTCGAAAAAATTGACTATGCCACACACATCAGGGAGAAAAAGTCATTCTCAAATTATAGACAATGTACGAAGTAATCACTATTTATTTTCTATAATTTATATATTAAATAATACTTATCATGAATATTTAATGTCAATCTCTTACTATTCAAACATATGACAAAGATGAATAATGGTGTAAAGCCAACTCGTATTGAGGTGTTAAAAAAAACTCACATTAGAGCGCATAAAGAACCAGTAAATGAGATAGCTGGTGAAGTTATGGTAAACTCTTACTCTTTAAAAATATATAGGTATTTTCTTTCTATTACAATTTTTTTTAAAAAACTTCTAATTACTTTACCTTTCTTTCAAAAAGAAACAAATGGATGATCTTGCCAAGGTGTATCTTGAGTTGAATGTCCCTGGAAGTGCTCCTAATGATGTGTACTCCCAAGTAATGGGATCAGACACTCATGGATTTGTCCGAACTCTAGGAAAATGAGTGTCTCCTAGCTTAGTATATGGCCCCGTATATAAACGATCTCAGGTTGAAAAAAGAGATTTTGATACAAGGGTTGAGATGGAAGTTCAAAAAGCTACCTCAGCTATGAAAATTGAGATGACAGAGAAGATGTATGAAGCAAAAAAAAGAGATGGAAGCGATTGATAAAAAGTTGTTATAAGCGAAAGAGGAAGCAAAAGAGAATAACGAAGTGATGGAGAGAAAATTATCGGAAGAAAAAATGGATATGGAAGAAATTATAGCGGATAAAGTGAAGGAAGGAATACAAGCATATGTAGAGTCTTTGGGAATTAATATTGATGCAAATTTAAAATCAGAGCAGGTGAAATAATTGTGTTGCTCACAAAAAAAATACTTCTTTAAGATGAAAACTTAGTTTCTCTTAATTATAATAGTCTTCCTCTTTTCCAATAGGTTCCTGATAATCCACTTAAAGATTGTCAACAACCATTATCACTTGGTCCAGGTGTTCACACAAGAAAGGTTAGAGAAAAATTCATTAAAAAATTAAATTTTATTTTAATTGCGTAAATCCTAACATTTATATGATCACAAGATCAACTAATTCTTCTTTCTTGTTTAATATGGATTAATTGACAAACTGTTAATTGCGCGTCATGTACACATAAACAGTCTAACTGATCATCTTTTTCTTTTGGTTCTTGTTGTTGTTGTTGTTGTTTTTCAGTTGGTATAGTGAAATTATAAACTGTGTTAATTTATCATATTATTGTCAACTGGTCTAATGATCATTGTAGTCTTGATCTGTATATTAGTTATCTATTTTGTTGCTCTCGGGTTGTCACCAAGAATGTAGTCCACCTAGAACAACATCAAACATGATGATTAGTTCACCAAGAACACATTGCTAGTACCATGCTTCAATTTATGATGAATCGTCATAATACAAGCTTGTAGCACTCTATCAAAGTTAAAATATTTACCTGAGACTTAGAGAATGAGAGAAGCTCATTCGGAGAAACAGAACCAGAAGAACACTTGAGGTATTTGCCAGCAGAGGCCAAATAGTCACAATAAGTAGTGGCAAGGAATGCAACACTAGTAACAAATTACATATTGTTCCATCTTTGTCTATAGATGAGACCTCCAAGAGTTTTCTGGGTATTTCTGTCATCCTTTGCAAGACATGAAAAGATAAAGTTCTTTGCTTTCTGTTGGTACTTCACAAATACAGGTGCATTATGACCAACTTTACTAGACATAACGAACTGCCTGGACTATTTGGCAGATCTTGAGTAATAAAGTTCTTTGCCTGGACTGTTTGGCAGATCTGGTTCCACAAGATCAATATAAGAGTTATGAGTAATAATATTTTTACCTGTATGACTGTGACTTTTCTGGGAATTGTGCTGATCCATCTGTTCTTGAGGTGTCTTAGGTCTCTCCTCATTGTTTGTATTTTTTTTAAAGAGAGAACATTTTCCTAAATCATAATAAAAAATTGATATTCAGTTCCAATGAAGAGTACAATCCAGAAAACAAGAGTTCATGGTTTAGCATCACATAAATCTGAATGAGGATCAATGTCGAAAAAATGCCAACTTGAACCATGGAAGGCACAAAATAGATCAACTGAAAAAGGATCAAAACGCTCTTTTACAAACTGCCTGATTACTATGATATGCTTCCTAGAATCAATGGGAAGCTCTTTTACAAATTGCCTGATTGCTAGGATATGCTTCCTAGAATCAGGAAGTCTAAGGTTTTTGCACTATGACACGTATTGCTCATACGCCTCAAAACTATTTCCAAACAGTGTCATATTACTCAATAGATCATACCTCCAATTTGCCTCTAGAAGATTCTCATATAGTTTAGCATATCAATGTGGCATGAAGAACATCGTAGGTCTTAAAGCTTGTCATCGACCCTGTTCATTGACTGTTAGGACAGAACAACCGAGAGATGTCAACACCCTAGATTCTGCCAGAGAGATCAGTGGATCCAATACCTCTACCTCCCCAATCCAACTAAACATTCTTTTCATTAAGATTGCAAGAATAAGCTGTAATCTAGGAGGCTCATACGATTCTATGCTACCAATTCCATATATTACCATCTACATCTTTACTTCTGAGCCCACAACTTTTAGAAACCTATCAAATATTTCAGGGGTTTGTAACTGATCCAAAAATGTCAACCAGAAGGAAGAGCTCTCGAGTTTCCTAATGCAGGTTTGTATTTTCTGCATCAATTTAGATTTTCTCTCTAGATTGGTCTCAATATCTGCTGGAGTCCACAACTGTTCTTGTTTTTTCCGTTTGTGAATGATAACTTTATGAGAATTTCTTTTCTGTTTTCCACGACGAGGAAATACAACAATCCAATCTTCAGCTGGGTTAGGCTTGTCAAGAGCTGGTGTCTTTGCTGATGAAGCCATTCCTCTATAGCTACTTGAGAATGACACAGACTGAGTATGTTTGAAATATGTTGTTGTCAAGGACCTAACCCCAAAATAGAAGTAAAAACCTCACATATGCTTTTCTTTTGAAAAATAAAGTGAAATCCTAGCCCACACTCTTTCTCCTCACTAAGATTCATCCATGTTTACCGGAGAGCTAAGCTGCTGTTGCATCTAAGAAAGTCATCGACGGAGCTCAATTCTCACCGGGACCTCATTGTTTATATTATTTTTGTTATTCTTCTTTTTATGAGTTTGCCACTGTTCTTCCTACTGATTTGGCTCTTCTTCTTGGTAATGATGCTGCCTTGAGTCTATCAGTGATGTTTTATGAACTTGTTGCATGCGACTGAAAGAGGTGGTTAGTTCTAGAAATTACACATGCTTGTGGATTCTGTGCTCCTACTTTTCCTCTTTCTCTATTTGTTCTTTCTGGAAGTGGTCCATTGAGTTAATGTTCATTGCAGGGGATTGTGATTCACGCTATTGCTTTAACTTGTGACTACTCCTTCACATTTCAGTAATATATATGAAGTGATTAACTCTTAATTTCTACTGCCCCTTCTCCCTTCCTCCTTTATATTCTAGAAAACAACATATATTTGTGCATGATGACTAATTCATGGGTTAGGGGAACTGGCCTTTAGGGTCATTTCCTTCTGGAAAAGGAACTAATTTAACTGAATATGTAAATCTGGCAAGGTCTTATATTGTTTATTGTGTGCTATATAATTTGTGTGCTGGAATTTTTAGCTTATTGTAAGATGAGTTCTTACAATAAACAACAACATACACTGTGAATGCATATTAATGCTATCACACTGTTAGTTGCATTATAAGATGTTTGTATCTTTGTCCCAGCACCATATGTTTGTTTTGTTGAAGCAATCATATATCTTCCTTTTTTTTCTTTTTTTTCCTTCTGGAAAAATTGGCACACTTATGTATTCAATGAAATGTTAAGTTTTGTATTTCGTAGAGTATCAAAATAATCAATTTAATGTTTTTTCTCAGTCTAACCTGATCAAGAAGACTGGAACTACCGTAGTTGGCAAAAATAAAAAGAAATGGGTATGTTTGAAAAAAACTACAAGATCTTTTTTTTCTTTCAAAAGAAGGAAAATTTCATGTATAAAATTATTGCTTTTGCATCAATTCCTTAATATTATTGTTTTTACAAAAATTCAATTAGTCATTTTCGATATCCCAATTTGTTCTAGTTAATGGGGATCTAATTTCTATTATTATATAGTTATAAATTTTCTTATGTGCATTTCTTGTGCAAAATATTTAAAAAAATTGAGGTCAAGTATTGACTTCAACATGCTCGACTTTTGGATTGATGATTTCATAAATATTTATTTCAAATTTACTGGAGATTTTAATTTCATTTGAATTAGGTGTAATTGGTTTGATTTTATGTTGAGATTATTACATTTAGTTAGATCTCAATTTTACTTTAGATAGAAAAGATAATTTGTTTTGACATTGTTTACTTTAACAGAAAACTTATTCTATTGCTATTTTATTCTTTGATTATAATATTAGAAAATATTTGCTTTATATAATATTTCTTGCATATCATGAAGAAGATAGTTTTGAATGCACATATTGTTTGTATGTATTTGTGTCTTGAGAAAACACTGTATATAGATTTTTCTGGGATGTTTAAAGAAACTTGGTAGCGACATTAGAATATTAATATGACATTTAGCAAAATATAAAATAATGTCACCTATTTTTATGACATTCAATAATAGCATTTGTTGATATTAACTAACGTGACGGAAATTTCAATGTGACATTTTATAAATGTCACAAGTAAGTGTCTTGAAATTTGCTTTACTAACATTTAATCTAAACGTCAGAAAGTTTAAGTGACATTTCATAAATATCGAAAAATAAATGTCATATATCTCATATCGACATTTACATAAATGTCAAAAATAAATGTCATATATATCTCACACCGACATTTACCTAAATGTCAAAAATAAATGCCATATATCTCATACTGACATTTATCTAAATGTCGAAAATAAATGTCATATATCTCATACTGACATTCACCTAAATGTCAAAAATAAATGTCATATTTCTTATCAACATTCACATAAATGTCAAAAAATAAATATCGTAATAATCTTACCAACATTTACATATATGTTGCAAAGTAAATGACGCAAATTCTTTTCATCATTTACCTAAATGTCACAAAATAAATGTCACAAATTCTTCCCGACAATTACCTAAATGTCGGAAAAATCCCCGGCACTAAAATTTACGACATTTGGTCCAAATGTAAAATAAATGTCGGTAAACAAATTTGTGACATTTAAACATCATAAAACGACATTTAGAAAATGTCGTTTGTATCTCCACTTTCTTTTAGTGTCTCTTCTTGAACCCTCAACTAGAACCCTAAGCGTAGATTAGGATTATAAAACTGAACCTAAAAGGATTAGACCCTTAATACCTTACTATAAACGGATTAAATCTGATTGGGTAAGGAAAAGACCAAAATACCCCTTACTATTTTCAGGTAACTTTCCTTAACTGGACAACTTGATTTCAAAAGGGCATATCTCACTAATCCAAACTCGAAACTTAGCAAACTCGGCGGCGTTGGGAAGATAATTCAAAGACCTTTCATTTTTCATCTCATGGCACACCTAACTCATCCTGTATTGCGAGTTATGATTAGTTGAATTTGAACTCTCTTTAATTCTTCTTGCAACTCAAGGTGCTACTTCTAATGACCTTAACACATAGGAAAAATTTAAATTCCTCGGTAAAAACTTACTCACTACGAAGGATGGTTCAAGTCTTAGCTCAGTTTTTTTGGGAGTGTTACAATATATATACATACATACATGATATCTTGTTTTTGGAAATTTTATAAAAATAACATATATTTTATAAAATTATAAAATATACTAGTTATATGGTTTATTATGAACTATATTTTGTGCTAACCTAATTAATGAATTCTTTACAATATTCTACACAAATAAACTATTTTTTTTTAAAGAATTATATAAATATAATAAACACCAAAGAAAGAAGCAGTTTATGCTAAAATTGCACAAACCTCAAATATCCTATTAGAAGATATTTTTGGGCTTAACATTATAAGGAATTTAAGACTTAGTAAAACAATACATGTCACATGCGTAAATTTATTTTTCAATACACTTCCAATCTATATTGATAACGAAAGATAGAAAGTATGAGTTTTTTTACTTGACTTTCTTGGTTAGCCTATTTAAAGTATAATATCTATTTGCTTAATTTTCTTTCCATATAATACTTATTGCACCGTGCCGATTGTGAGTGATAGAGGAGTGTACATGGATGATATTAAATACCTCAGTTGGACTTTGTTAAAGATTTTATTTAGTGATTGTTCCTCTGAAGTTAGGGGTACTTACCATCCGATCAACTCTCTTTTGTCGGTGACATTCAATATTGCGGTATCTAAGATTCATATAAATTACTTACTATTTAGGAAGTATGATGGAATCCTTTGTAAGGAATACAAGTTTATTCAATGACCCTCTAGGTCATTTTTGTGCTAATGCCTCATGTTCGTCATTTAGAGCATTTCTATAGCGACCCCAAGTAATTTATGACTTGATGAGACTAACAATTCAGTCACTAGGTCGTTCGTTTGGTTTTATATGACATTCTCTCTTTTGGAGCTTTTGAACCTTGAATTGTTGATTTTGATCAAAAGTTTAGGAAGTCAACCTCATAATCCAAATCTAACGGTTTCATCCACTCCACAAGGGTAATTTTTTACTAGTAGCATGATCGGTATGGATCTCGAGGCTTTCAGTGCGATTGTGTGATTAGGACTTTTAGCTTTTAAGTTTTGGCCTAAGATTGACCTTGGTCAACATTATTTTCAAAGATTCTCGGATGAGAATTCTATAGGTGCGGTTAGTTTTGAAATGTCTTGTTTTGTTTAGAATGTCCTTTTGTATAGATTCCGAGACTCTTAAGCTAATTTTGAGCCCCCTTGTAGATTTTTGCTTAGAATGGAGGAACCCACTTTTTGTTGAGACGACTTCATATGAATGTTTTAATAGCTCTGTTGAGTCCGAAATGTCGAATTTGATAGGTTAGCATATCTTTAACACCCCAAAAATTACAAAACTAAGGACCTAACCATTCTTCATTTGCGTGTAAGGTCGTATCGGGTGATTCATAAATTGTTCTTATGTATAAAGGTCAATTGTTTAGTGTGGGAATGAATTTTGATATGAATTATGGTCACAAGAATACCCTAGCACAGAGTTTAGTTGAAAGCTTCCTTACCCACGATGTTTTGATGTATGATTATACTTTGGTCAAATTTAACCATCATATATCTTAGCACATAATGAATTAGGTGACCCATGACCTATCAAATTGAAGGTGTATGGGTTCTTTTTCCAATGCCACAAAATTTGCTTCATTTTGAGTTCAGAAACATTTTACTAGAGACCACCAAAAAAGAGTTTGCTGAGTCAATTTCTACAAATCCATTCTACAGGCTGTAGAAATTTTTACAACCTATACTTTCAACTCGTGGAAAAACTTCAGAGAGTCAAAATTTGGGATCCAATTCCTACGAATCCAACTAGCAGTCATATAAGCTTCTACGGGCCATAGTTTGGACTTGTAGAATGATCTTTTGGTTCTTAAAATTTAACATGAATTCTACAGATTTGATCTACAATCCATATAAACTTTTACGGGTCCTAGTTTTGACATGTAGAGTGAAATTTTGAGCCTTAAAATTAAATTTGAATTCCAGGAATGGGATCTATGGTCCATAGATTAAACCACGATCCGTAGATGGCCATGTGGAATGTTTTTGACAGATTTTTAAGAAGGTAGTTCAATCTTTTCCCACCCCTTCTAAGGATAAAACCCAATGTTTTTAATCCTAAATAATGTTTTAAATAGTGTTAATTAACCCTATTAATTTTATTAATGCCTCCATGTTTTAGAGCATC